AGTTAGTAGCTCAACAATAAATCGGTGTGTTGATTGTGGTGATTATGGACTGATTAAGAAGATTTGTTGGCAGTGATCCAGCTCGGCACGTGCATGCATTTGGAAGGCCACTTTGCCGTGGCCGCCACAGCCACTTCCAATTACGATGCTACAGGCTTTTGGCAAGACTTTCAGATAAGGCTTTGAACTCAAAAGCAGGAAATCGGCCCAGCATATTTTGTAACTCAAGAACCTGAACTGCTATGGTATTTTTTAATGCACAGGCATTAATAGCCGCAAGTTTTTGCAAGAGAAAAGAATTCAGTGAAGGAAACGCTGGAAAAACTATTCCTGCAACAAACACTGTACATAAAAAACACATCATCACGACCAAATTCAATGGTTGACGGGTTAAAGTACCCCCGGTATTTTAATTATTCGTGCCAATGGCTCCTGCTGTAAATACATGCATATATTCCACTGGGCAACAAGTCCGTTGTGAATAATCAGGATCAAGAACAGTGACTGGTGGATACTTGTCCACATCCATCGTCCAAGAATAAATAGAATACAGTTGCTGCAGAGGAATACGATTGGGAACCAGACTGTTCTTTTTCTCACTTGTCAAAATCTAAATTGAATCTTTCAAGATTCAGATTTCACTGGGTTATGCTCTGAACTCTGCCTTCCCCAAATGGCATCACAGTAACGGCACCCCTCAATGTCAAGAAGAGCATGGACAACTTTAAGGTTGAGTTTGGGCGACCTGCTCTTGACACAGATTTCGTGGTCTCACGCTCGAACGGCAGGAACACGACCCAAGAACACTGTTCTCGGAACAGGATCACACACCACGTCCTCGTCAGGGTTTTACAGGAACACATGGAAAAACTCGTGAGTTTTTATTTTTGAACAGCTGCAAAAACAGCAAGATGGCTTACAAAGCCAGAGACAATGGGAAGTTTTGCCAAATTAACTAGAAAGATTTTCCACAACACAGAAATGAATGTCCTTTTCAAACAGAAAAGAATTCAGCCCAGTTATCCAAACATTAACCCCCAAAGAATGTGTACATTGTAGGACGCCGCCATGTTGCACCTTGCTTGTAACTAACCACCAGCGATAACCAATTGTACATTCCCAGCGTTTGAGCGGCTGACCCACAAACAAAAAATTATAAAAACATATATATAAAACAAGCCACCTGATCTTAGCCTTAGTGTACCTTTAAATACATTTAACATAACAGGAAGTCAAATGGTTTATATAAAGCGTACAAAAAAAAACAGAGAAAACCTTGTCTAACAAACATTTATCATAGCTACCCTTTAGCAATGAGATTTCCAATGGAAACGAGGGACTCTGAAGGTTGTGTCCATAGGCAAGGTACTTTGCAACAACTGCAATAATCTCAACTGAGTAGAACTGCCTGCATTTCACAATCTCAGTGCAAACCTCTCCTTTGGGTTGAAGTCTTGTTCCTGTTCCAAAGCTCTACCAGAAATTCGTAACAGCTTTTTCAGAGAACATCTTGCCGTTGTAGTCGCTGGAGCCCGTTGGCAGCAGGGCAAGGTAGACTGGTGTGACGGCGCCCTCGTCGATTGTCAGCGACCCCTTGTGACTTGTCATGTCTGTGTCCACATAACCTGGGCAGCACTATTAGAAATCAACAGTTGTTAACAGAAAATGAGACAGAATTTTGATAGGCCTGTGCCCAATATTCAAACAGTTGAACAGTTTTTTAACCCTAACCCCCTAGGGTGTATGTAAAATCATATTGAAATTGGAGGATTTGGGACTGTTAGGGTTAATGACTATTTTTTCAAACATTTCATTTTGAAACTGCATATTCGGAGATGAAAATCAATGATACAAACAGGGGATAAATTTAAGCAACCGAATGGGACTTTTTCTGAAGAAAACATGAAGTGGGCCAGAACATCGCTTGGACGCTCGCTCGTCCTCACCCTGGATGACTCAATGTCCTGGAACTCAACAACCGATCAGCTGACTACCACACCAACATGTATATTTTGCACCTGCTTTTGAGGGAATTTGGCGTAACCGAATGTGTGGTGGGATGGAAGGTAAAATATTCAAATGTGGAAGCATTCGAAATGACTCAACCTGACATAAGAACAAACTGGAGAAAGGTTTCACAGCACACTTGCAGCAAGTATTCGCCAATTTTCTATTTAAAACTTTCTTCTGCCTTTTTATTAGAACCAAGTCTGTGTTTTACATGTACTGTAACCAAGCCATTCACATTACGCCACAAAGTTTTCTCTGGAGGAGTCAAAATAAACATCAAACAGACAGCTTTACTCTTTCAGATAAAAGAAATTTGTTTTTCATCAAAATTTCAATTAAAAAATGACAAAATGAAATTAATCCGTACGCAAAACTACACTTGAATGGCTAACGAAGGATATTTTTAACACACAACTGGGTTATTCAATAAACGTGGGGTCCAGAAGTGTGACTTTTGTGTGCCTGTTACACCTGACCAGTGTAATTTGACACCAATATGAACCTGACTTAAAAGTACACATAAACTGCATTACTTCATTCCTCTTAGAAATGATGTTCTAAACCTACTAAATTATGTCCGATGATACATTGACAATGGACTCCAAATTTATAATATCATCCGATTAGCAAGAAAATGCACTTACGCAGGTGATCAGAACGTCTTCCTTCGTCTTGTCCTTGGCTATGTCGGCAGCTTGGACTCGGGTAAGTGCGATGACCCCCATCTTGCTTGTGCCATAGGCCGAGTTGGGCCAGCCTTTACTCATGTGATCCCCGGCGTTGGCACAACTGAGTTAATTAACAATCAACCAAAGAAGTACTTGACTACAGCTATGGTACAGTGATGCTCCTCCTTCAACTCATCATAATGATAATCAATGGAGCATTTATGATGCATACAGTATCTAGAAAGTACCATTCAAAGGTGCAAGATGGAAAGCGACATTGGAAAGGTGTGTTTTTAGATGGAGTTTTAAGCGTGAGAGATCCTTTTCCTTCCTCAACTCGTCTGGCAAGAGATTCCAGAGATGCGGTGCAAAGCTGGAAAAAGCCCGGTCTCCGTTGGTTGCCAGACGCGTCTCGGAGGAGGGACAGCATGTGAGAGGACGACAATGACCTCAGACCAGGTCTCAGGTTGCGGTACTGCAACATGTCCAGGATGTAAGATGGGACGAGATCATGGAGGGCTTTGAAAGTCAGCAGAGGGATTTTGAATTGAATTTTGTAATTAACTGGAAGCTAATGAAGGTCTTGCAAAACAGGTGTTACGTGGTGTGATGTTTTGTTCTGGTGAGTAAATGAGCAGCAGCATTGTGTACCTTCTGGAGTCGCTGTACTGCGTGTTGCAGCAGACCTGCGAGTAAACTGTTACAGAAGTCTAACCTGGACGAAATAAAAGCAACTCATCCACTCCGTGAAATGGTTTCAACACACACACTCCTATTCAGACTCACTGAAATGTGCTCAACAACAGCTATAGTGCTGTAACACGCCTCTTTGAACTCATCCACTCCTTGAAACTTTTCAACACTCACACTCCTACTCAGACTCACTGAAATGTACTCAACAACAGCTATAGTGCTGTAACACGTCCTCTTTGAACTCATCCACTCCTTGAAACTTTTCAACACTCACACTCTTACTCAGACTCACAGAAATGTACTCAGCTACAGCTATAGTGCTGCAACACTCATACTAAATTACACAGGAGTACTTAATTCAGTACTCGCATCCAACCTCTACTCACAAAAAAAATTTGCTTTCAAGCTGTTAACAGTTAAAAGGGCACAACGAAAATTCAACGTCCATCAGAGGGAAAGCTCTTCATTTTGAGAATGTCTTCATACTAAACATAACTTTGCAAACTATGCACAACAAATGGACTCACTCAACGAATTCCTTCATGAGCTGCTCCACATCCTGTTCTGTCCGGACAGCCTGGAAACGACCTTTGACCTCCTGACTCATTTTCTTGAATGCATATGGCCCGGACATGCTGGCAACGTTGACAATTCTGGGAATCACAGAGCCGTTACAAAGAGGTACGTTGGCATAAGAATCTCAGAGGTTTCTGCTGAAAGGGTCTGACCTGTGGAGATCTTCAAGCGACCACCTGAATCTTGTTTGAGCTTGGGCCAAGACACTTCAAAACGTAAAAACAGTGGCACTGGCAAAGGAAGAATGTGGGAAGCCGTTTTGGGACTTATTTGGGCCCAATTTTTTTTCTCTCAGGCATGAAAATCAATTTACATATTAATCCTTCAACCTTCTTGACCCCAAACATAGCTGTACTTGCTAAAAATCAGATACCTTCCATGGGGGCGCACAAGAGGAAGTAGTGCTCTGCTGACTTCCAGCAGTGCAGTGAAATTGGTTGCCAAGGTAACAGTTGCCTGAATGCCAAATGGGTCAGTAGCCTCCATCTGCAAGAGGAAAATACAAACCTGGAGAAATAAGATATTGCAGTCTCATGCCACTGTAAAAGACGTATTTCTGCAACACGTTTCAACTCAAGACTTCCTGCCAACCACCGTACGGATCTCAAAACTGAACCACAGGGCTGCCTGGGGCAGGAGGGCAAAAGCACTCCCAACATATGCAAAACGAACACTCCCTAGACACAAAATTCACATCTTATAAAACTACTCTCACCGTAACTGTAATGTAA